CCTTTTTTTCTTTTTAGCATCTAATCTTCACAATCCAATAGGTCCCCACGACGCTCGAGTAAATCCACATTTAGCCTCTCGGCCTCCCCTACTATAAAAACAATTTATCTTAATATTTTAAAAAGGTCTAGTCTTTTTACATTTATATATTTTATTTATTACAAGATAAACAACGATCTTTTTACCTTCACTTATATTTCAACTTCTAAACATAAAAATATTTAAAATGTATTAAATAAAAAATTATTAGTCAATTTTCACAGATGCCAAATATTTTAATCATAATATAAACATTTAATTTACCTCTCCATCTTCAGTGAGCAAAAAAATACTATAACAACATGCCCAAATATCACAAACGAGAAACTTTATCTCTTTGCTGAACATCAAATCTATTTCTCGATGCTCATCACAATTTGCAGCACGCCTAAAAATAGCCGCAGCTCTATAAGTGGTATATGAGTTTGTAACAAACCTTAAACAAAAATAATTGCAAAGATATTAAGTATACTACAGAAAAATGCACTGACATAGAAAATAATGAATTAATAAAATAATTTAATAAAATTTATAGCCGTTGCTTCATGTGAACACAACAGGTAAAGATTATCCGAATGTCGATTTATTTAGAATATTTATTTAAACCTGTATAAGTCATATTAAGTAATTATGGCTGAGAGATTTTTCGTTTTATATTTTACGAATCATTTTTCTCACAGATGAAATACAATTAAAGATCTATTATTTTACAGACATCGTGTAAATTGTCGAAAATCATGAAAAATTATTTGTATGACTTAAAATTTACACGATTACAATACAATAATAATAATTTTACAGTTTATTATTATTTTTATGTTTCATAAATATATGTGTAATTCTTAATTGTGAAATTGCATTAATACTTTAATCTTTATCACACGAATCTAATATTTCGAACGTAGATACGAGCGATCCCGCGGGCGTTTGCCATTATTTGAAAGGCTTCCGAGACCGTTATCTCTTCGAATAATTTTTTTTGTCGTCAGTGATATCAGATATTGTTCTCGTTCTTTTAGATTTTCCCACTGGACGTGGGGACGAAGAAGAAAATTTTTGATCGCATGTACGAGAGGACTTGCAGGATTTTTTAGTCATTCGGTTCCCTTCGCCGACCGCGATCTTCGTTTGAAACTGGAAATACATTGGAAATTTTTGGACACATGTATACAGAGTATTCAGCGAGACTTTTCCAATACCCCACAGGAAGGTAGATGGGATCAAAATAAACGTAAAAGTCCTTTACCGTTTAGCTATATCCGTAATAATAATATTAAAGTTTGCAATTGTACTGATGAGAGAGAGAGAGAGCGCCTATAGAAAGAATAGAAACGGCTCCAGGTATAGCCCGGCCCAGTTTGTCGAATGTTGTCAAACGATGGTTGCGCAGGAGAGGCAAGAGGGGAAGCGCGCTGTTGCTTAGCGCTCGGCATCGCTGCTCACATGTCTCACCGCACCGCACCAAAGGACTCGCGCAATGGCCGTTACGCATATTCGCGATTACATTACATATGTAATAATAACACTGCAAAAATAGGACAAATACAAACCATAATAAACTTCGATGAATAAAAATGTCGAAAGAGAGAAAGCGATGAAACCTATGGAAATCTACGGAAAATCTAATTAATTTCTGTCGCTTCTAAATCAAAAGGAAAAAAATTTTTTTTTAAATGTATCCGAAAGAAATAATATCATTCTCCACCATTCTCTATCGTTTCCTGTTAGGAGAGTATGATTTCATCGGAATACGAAAAAATATCAATAAATGATATTATTTCATGATATTATTTCTTTCGGATACTTTTTTCTTAAAATTTTTTCCTTTTGATTTAGAGAACCGACAGATTACAATAGAAATTAATTAGATTTCTATAGGCGCGCTCTTATTAGTACAATTGTAAACTTTAATATCTCAATTATTATTACGGATATCGCTAAACGGTAAAGGACTTTTATGGTTATTTCGATCCCATCTACTTTCCTGTAAGGGATTGGAAAAGTCTCGCTGGACACCCTGTATATGCGTGATCTTCGATTGTCTGTTATTTCAGTGTGGGCTTACCCTTAATTTTCGCTCCAGGATCGCTCCGAACTTCAACCACATTCGTTTACTGGGTTTTTATAATTTATAGCGTATTTCACTGGTTGCACTGGTGCGCACTCAGTGCACATTAAGGCTGTTGTACACTATTCTAATCTTAAAAATATAAAAGTGAGATATCTCAATTGATAAAATGCCCAAAATTTATTTTATCAATAGCACAATAAAATGTATCGAATATTTCACGGTTTAATTCGTTTATAT